TTTATTGACTACATATAAAAAAAACAAATCCTTAGTCAAAAATGAAATTGAATAAATAGGTGGAACTCTTTGGCTGGTTGAGGACTTAATGCATTCTTATTACTAATAAAAAATATAAAAAAGACAAATGCTGTAACATACATTATTTATGTATATTACAGTAAAGACCATTTACTGTAAAAGCAAATAAAAAAGAAAAACATATGTATTCATTAAAAAAACTCACAAATGTTGAAATCAAAGTCTGTAGCAGTTAGACATGGTCATTATTTATATTGTCTGAGAGTTTAGTGCATGTACATGGCTTCAGTAAAAGCTATTGTTCGTTTACAAAGCTGGTCTGAACATTTGTTGACGCTCCCTAAGCGCTTTTCTTGGCGCTTGCAGTACATAGGATTCAATGGATTTCTCTGCATTTAACAGTGCACTGGATTTGAAAAATCAACGTAGAGATGATCATTTTAGCCCAGTGACTTCTTTTTTTTAACAAAGTAGCTTTCGTGAACTATTGACCTCGGATGTCCAAATCTAGGAATATGGCGCTACTTTACCCATGAAACTTCTGCTGTGATGATGCTGCGGGAGCGGCCCACGCTGGCGCCTGTCAACATTAAACCAATGTATGTGATCAAGTCTACGCCCCTTTGACACTGATTGGCCGAAAGGTAGACGCTTAAACTGTGATTACTGTGTGTGTGTTGTGTGCGCGTGTGACATGCAGTGAGTGAGTGATGCATTTAAGGCGGCTCTGAAAATACGGAACAAAAGCCGTCCCGTATCCATTCAATACGGGACGCACATAGTGTTTCTATAATACGGGACAATTCCGTATTTCAAGGGATGGTTGGCAACCCTATGCTAAATATGCTGCTAACGCTACACTACAACAATGAGCTGTGTGCAGACCTGGAGCAGTGAGTAGACGCTGTGCAACAAGCTTAAGTTAAAACTGTTCACAGTATACATTGATGTTAATGGCAGCATCTTCAAACCATTTGCATTATTAAAAGCCTGACACTGTTTGACTCACGTCTCAAAGAGCAATATTCCGCATCATGTAGTGAATTGTGTTCTTTGGTTCCTACCTGATCCTCAGCGTCTGTTTGTCCCGTGGTTATTATAGATCCATGGTTTATCCACACTGCTGACCAGGGCCGTTTTTATGATAGATCCATGTGTGGGACAGGGCACTGACCGCACAGACAGTCTCCTTTGGCTTTCTCCTCACGCATTCTCCGACGCTGTTCCAATATTTAAAACAACGTGTTTCGCCTGTGTCATATGAGCTGCTGCTGTTGATGTTGAAGGTGGTTTTGCTCTAAAAAGAGCAAACATAGGCAGAGCAGACATGCTGCACATACGAGCCCTCAATGTTTTCTGCCGGTTCCGCGTCTATCCTCCGTGAGCTTTTGCTGTCCAATAGGAGCGCCGATCGTCACACGTGTCAATATATTTATATGAAAAAGTTCACTTGCAAAAAGGAGCAAAAGAAAAAAAGTTTTGTCCGCTTTTGATTCGGATCAAGCAAGTGGAGCTAAGGACTGTTCAGGTCTGAATACACCCTAAAAATGATTGTCTGCAGTTTGTCCGAAAAAAGAGAGAGGTACAGGACTTGAAAAAAAAAACGACCCAAGCTCCCTTCCCCTTCCTTTCTGATTGGTCTTGAATCCGCGCCTACTTTCCCGTGCACGCGCCAGGTCAGAGGTGTGAAGGAGAGAGAGAAAGCATCCACTTTCAACAATGGAGTTATCGGAGGTGAGGATGCACTGTTGTTTTGCAAATATTTTTCATGGAGATAACACGTTCATGTAACTAACGTTGCACTAATAATCTAAATAAACTGACATGTCCTTTAAATATCCATCCATTTTCTTCCCCTTAATCCATTTCTGGGTCGGGGGGTTGGCAGTCAGAGCTGCACCCAGTACAACTTAGCACCTGCCGCTCACTGATCCTCCTGCAGGTAGTGAGTCCACAGGAGCTGAGATCTTTCAGCAGAGGCTTCAGGCAAAGTGTCTTGCCCAAGGACACAACGCCAGCAGTCATCAGCAGGAGTCGTGAAGTAGGTCTTACGGTGGGCTCGAACCCACAACCTTCAGGCCCAAAGGCCAATGCTCTACCAACTGAGCTAATGTCGCCCCGTCCTGAAAATATGTAGCTTGCAACATTGTCATTACTCATTTAACAACAAACAGCTAGCTCAGGATTTACGTACTGTCCGGTCTTTTTAGTGTTGTTATTGCTGTAATTTACAGTCAATCCTGACAAAATCACAAACACAGAAGACATAGTTCGGCATTTTTAATACTTGGTTGCCTTCCAAGGAGAAGTGATTTCCAAACCAGAGACAGAGCAGAAAGTGCTGCTCTCTCTTTGGTTCCAAAATCAGATCTCCCTCAGATCAGGCGGCAAACTCCTTTTAAAGAACAAGACACCTTCATATGCATACAAGGACAGGAAGAGCCAACACAACAAAAGGGCAATGACACATTAGCATCCTCAAAACCTGCTTCCTCCCGGCATCTGCATACAACCCCCAAGCACTCTGAAGTCAACAGTGGATTACAATACAGACAGTATAGAATTCATCCACATATGATTTAGCAAAATGATAACTTAAGTTACATTTCAATATCAAGTGTTTACACCACTTGTGTTCAATTACCTAACGTTTTGTCATCTTCAGAGCTCTTTTATGAGTGGATCCTCTGATGAGGAATATATTCCTCCTGCAGCAGCAGCATCATCACACAGAAGCGCTCCAAAAAGAAAACTGGCATCTACCTCTCGAGGCCGTGAAAGGGGTCGGGGGCAAGGCCCGAGGCATGCAGGAGACGCTGCTGTAAACCTGTTTGAAGATGATTTAGCTCGTGTTCAGTAGCTTAGATGTTAACGCTGCACTTGGTCGGCGCATTGCTCCAAGTAAACCGTCACAATGGTACGAGGAAAAGCTTGATAACCCAAGTACAGCGTGACCCAGAGCTCATTAACCCACAGAATCCTTTTTATAAGATATCGTGCGAAAGAAATTGCCTGGAGAGCAATTTCACTTGAATTGAATGTACAGTAAGCTAACAATAGGTAATTGTAACCCGCTATTTTTAATTTGGCTATTAACTTGTTTGAATGTTTTGGCTAAATATAACTTGGCACTTATTGATTTGTTTATGACAATATACGAATCAGTGATTAATTAAAATAAAGTATTTATTCAAGCCTATATGAATTATGATGTCAGTTACAGAGAAATAAATGTTCAAATCCATGTTTCATTCGTAAAAATGTACAACCATCAGCTTTAATAAATTTATCACAACATTTCAATCAAGAAATATACGTATAAATGTATAATAACCACATACAAAGATATGCTAAAATAAATAATTAGTTGAATTCTACACCATTTGTTTTGCCAAGGTAACCTTCCTTGGGGAGACACAACGTAGCGACAAAATTGTCTCTCACTCTCTCTGCCACCTGGCCACCTCTGCCTCCGCCCATCCTTGACCAATCTTCTTCGCAAACGCACATCTTGCTCCTCCCAACCATCCAAGCCTCTCCCCAGGCCGGCAGAGGAAATTGTGGAGGGTGCTGCTGCCCAGACATACGTCCACCTTTTCTTGGGATGTAAGATAGATGGTCGTATAAAGATCCTCCATCCTGGCAGCTAGAATGCCAAAGGCATTTCTCATCAACATTTCTGCTCGAGACAGCCTGTAGTTGAAGATGCGCTTCTCATAATTCAGCTCACCTCGCCCAGAAAATGGCCTCATCAATATGTTTTCAGAGGGAAAGCCGCATCTCCTACTAGTACCTATGGCATCTCTATTTCGGCTCCAGGTAGTACCCGTCCGCTGGTGTAACTCAGATTGCCAGCTTCAAGACCCTCGGCCCAGTGCTGATGAGGCAAAGACAACCGCCATCACTTGATCTCCCGTAATCTCCTGTTTGGACTAAAACCCCCTAAATCTGTAGTCACATCCACACAGCCATGAAACGATGGAAAAGTCTTTTTTTATAATTAAAATACAGGCTTCCGGACGGGCGGAGCCTGGGGGGGGGGGGGGTGTATGGAGATATGCATTTCCGTCATGGCACCGAGACAATGGGGAAGTTCCACTTTGCCATGAACCTTTCAGCTATGCTCCTCCAGTCCTCCTCTTTTGGGGGCGACATATTGTTGGCATCATTCGTGTATGATGGCGCGCAGTGTCAGTTTATAGCTTCGGAGAAACGTTGTTTCACTCTAAGCGATAACCTGAACTCGCTAGGCTAGCAATACTTCTCCTGTAAGCCATGTACCCTGTAACGAAGAAAACATTTATTAATATACCTATTTTTATTTTTTCAGTGCAAGATTGTAAATTAAAAGGGAAGTCACGTCGGACAGATAGTGAAGCAGAAGAGGAACAGAATCAGCCAAGTGGATCTGGCAAGTGCTCAACCGGGAGTGGAGGTTGTGGCCCCTGATGCATTTTCTCGTGCCATTCATCCCAAATAAAGGTGCAGATTGGATATAAATCCCTTGGATAAGTCTGGTGTTTTTTCTGTTTTTAAAATTAAATACTGATATGCTATAATGTCAAAATATGATTATTCCTTGACTTCCTTAAAAAAAAAATTACATCTGAACTAACAGAAGTGCACTCCATTGTGTTGCTACATTATCGTTTGACCTAAACTTTTTTTTTTAATCGTACGTATATCTTGTTACTTTGTATTATTCCAAGTTATTTAAGATTATAGGTTTAAGTTTTTCATGTTGTAACCAATGCACCCAAAGAAAAGTCCTTTGTTATTTACCGGCCGATATATAAAAGGATTGTGTTTTCATTTTCGACAGAGCTTATTGAAGTTTGTTATTTCATAACAATGATCTGCTTTAACAGATACATTGGTCATTTTGTATGTTTGTTTTTTCAGCAACTTTCGTCATCTTGGTTTAAGCTTCTGTTGGAATTTAGAAGCGGACCAGGAGGAGCCAACTGGAGGCACTCAGGATGAAGCGCAGGACACACTCAGGTGCCTGTGGAGAGGTCATCAAGCCAGAGAGCAGACAAAACAGCAGGAAGGGGGAAGCCGGAGCAGAAGCCCAAACAAGATAGTCAATGAAAAAGTAATGGAAAATCTCACTGCAAAGCCACAAACAAAGTCTAAAAGTGAGCTTTTTCTATTAGCATAGTTCCTCAAATGGAAAGACGCAATGAACGAAAAAGAAGTAAAGCAAAGATGAGATTATTGCAGGTGCTGGAGAATCTGGAAACCTCTGAGCCGCAATACTCATACCCAGGGCTGGTTCATGATCCATCCAACAATCCGAGCCCAAGTTATTCTTTTAGGTCTATTTGTTTATTTTGTTGCATATTATTGTTCTTTGTTAAATTCTTAATCTGTGTTATCTAATGTTTTTAGATCCTTTGTTTAAAGCAAAATTGCTTTTAACTTTGACTATGAATTAAGCCATCAGTTTTTTATAAGAAAATGTGAAATTTAGGTGCTTAAGTTTTTATGTCATTTTGTCCTTTTTTTTACTGATTGTGACAGCCAGCTTTTGTTTTGGCTGAATGGCTGATCGGTAATTTGTGTCCTGTTTGGTGATGTCCGTCCTACATTTTTGAAAGAATTTCTTCTAAGTGTGCAGCGCTCATCCGAAAATATTTGTGGTGTTTAACAGCTGTCCATCTGGAGCCTCCTGGATCAGGTGGTGGAATACTCCTTTCTCCTCACGTTGTTTGTTTATTGGGTGCACCCAGATTCTTTCTCTTTTTTTGCACGAAGCCGACAACGCAAAAGAAGGAGGGCGGCAATCTTCTTTGGTCTTGAAGAATATCTCTAGAAGATCATAAAGTCAAACAATTAAATGTAATGCTGCTATGCCGACGATTATTTTAGAGGATGTGACCAAATTATTTTAGGAAAACATCTTTTAATAGTGTTTTTTTGCTTGTTTAAAATCTCTTTTAGTATTCCAATCAATGTATTTAGTTAGCACATTTAAAACAACTGTTGTTGACCAAAGTGCTTCACAAAAATGTCTACGAGTAAAAAAGGAAAAAGTAAAACAATTCACAATATACAAGCAGTAAAACACTATCATTTTAGTATTGATAGAATAGCACAAAACCCCATTTATTTACTTCATTTGATACTTTTATCTCAAAGATAGCTTATAAGTTACAAGAATAAAAAATAACACACATCAGCATTCAATTTTATATTAATGTTCCCATTCGCACATGAAGCATTTGTCACTACAGATTACTCAAAAAAAATACATTGGTAAAACTTAGCTATATTACTGAAGAGGTCACTTTTTCACAGTCCACCAACAATAAACCGACCTCAAAACATCAACTCAAACTATCGCTTGACAAGCTAGTTATTAGCCTGTTTAAAAAATGGTCCAAAATAGTCTTTTCTTGTAATATTTGCCAGCAAATTTCACTAAATACTTTGTTTCCTCCCAAAATTTTAGTAAGAAACTTCCAACCGTCACTCACCCATTTCATCTGCGATCAGCTGAAAAGGAAGCTAGCCAAGGCGTTCCGGTGTAATTTGACACATTCCATGAACGCGCCGTCAAATGACGCGCCGCGAGCCTGCGTTTCAGGTGTGGCGGTGAGCTTTCGAGAACATTGTATGCTTTTAATTGGATACTTGAACTGTTTATTATTCGAGTTCGTTTTGAGGTCCTCGGAATTCTTCCAAGCTTAGCCCAGAAACAGAGATACAGAAGCTTTTCCCGGTCGTCCTGGCGTGGGCGATTTTAAGGTGATATACGCCCCTTAAATTGTGTTTTCCTTGTCCTTGCGCTGAAGAACGAAAACATTTTTCAGACAATTGCTTATTTGTTACTCTGTACATTAATTGCGCAGGCTTAAAAATTATATGTCCTTGAAAGAGTGAGAGTTTTGGATTTAATAAATAAAGGATTGGTTTGTCAAGATAACCAAGCGTTATTGATTGTTCTAATTGGCTTTTTTTTTGGCAGAAATCACTCGTGGTTGTAAAGTAGTTTTTATAATTTACCCCAGATTTCCGCGCAGTAGGTTAGTAAGGTGAAACCAGAGACGAAGAGTGTGTGTAGTGAAAAAAATCCAACTCTGGCTTAACCTAACACATCTATACTCGGATAATTTTCACTGTATTTATTGAATGCGAGCTTTTCAATTGATTCGTTCGACCATAATAACACCGAGAGAAAATGTAATCTCCTTGACTTGTTCTGTTTATCCCCTGTAATTTTAACGGTATTGTACATCTTCTTTGAAATTTCCCCAAAAACATTAACTTAGTGGTGGTCAGATTCAGAGATAATTTAATTATGTATGAACCAGGTCAATAACTTCATGAATTAAATTTTCAAGTCTGCCCATTAATTATTGCAAATTGTCTCCTGAACAGAACAAATTTGTGTCATCTGCAAATTGAAACAGCTTACTGTTAAATAAACAAATCAAGATAACTTTACACAAGATTAATAATATACAAAATAAATAATGTTGGGCCAAGCACAGAACCCTGGGGGAGGCCACAGACGACGTCCAAATACCAAGATTGTAGTCTCCGAGTTGAACAACTGTTTCCGATTTTCTAGGGTGGCCTCTTTATAGAGCCGACTAAACCCAAATCAACTTTTTTTTTAATCATAAACTGCATAACTAGTTAATTGTAGTGCTCTATACAATCCTGGTCATTTTTTGGACAATTAAGTACAAATTAGATAAAATCTAACTTGATAACAACGTCCCTGTGTGGCGCCCACTCTACCTTATAGTGACACATTTGAATTGGTTCTGGCCTCTTTCTTATTGACTCTGAAATTCGGTGTGAACGTCAGTTGGTGTGTGTGACGTCCAGTTGGTGTGGGTGTGGTGACGTCAAGATTTGGTGTGTGTGTTGACGTCCAGTTGTGTGTGGTGACGTCAGTTGGTGGTGTGGTGAGACGTCAGTTTGGTGTGGTTGACGTCAGTTTGGTGTGTGTGACGTCAGATGGTGTGTGTGGACAGAATTTGTGTGTGGACGTCAGTTGGGTGTTGTGTGACGTCAGTTGGTGTGTGTGACGTCAGTTGGTGTGTTACGTCATTTGGTGTGTGTGACGTCAGTGGGTGTGTGTGACGTCAGTTGGTGTGTGTGGAACGTCAGTTGGTGTGTGTGAATCCAGTTTGGTGTGTTGACGTACAGGGTGTGTGTGACGTCAGTTGGTGTGTGTGACGTCAGTTGTGTGTTTGACGTCCAAGTTGTGTGTGTGACGTCAGTTGGTGTGTGTGACGGCAGTTGGTGTTTGTGACGTCAGTTGGTGTGTGGTGACGTCAGTTGGTGTGTGTGACGTTAGTTGGTGTGTGTGTGACGTCAGTTGGGTTGGTGATGTCAGTTGGTGTGTGTGACTCAATTGGGTGTGTGTGACGTCATTGGTGTGGTGAACGTCAGTTTGTGTGTGTTTTTTTGGGGAAAGTCAGTTGGTGTTCTGTGACGTCAGTTTGGGTGTGTGTGACGTAAGTTGGTGTGTGTGAACGTCAGTTGGTGTGGTGTGACGTCAGGTGGTTTTGTGACCATTTGGTGTTTGTGACGTCAGTTGTGTTTTGTGACGACAGTTGTGTGAGTGACGTCAGTTGGTGTGTGTGTGACGTCAGTGGTGTTGGTGATGTCAGTTGGTGTGGTGTGACGTCAATTGGTGTGTGTGACGTCATTGGTGTGGTGTACGTCAGTGGTGTCTGTGACGTCATTGGTGTGTGTGACGTAAGTTGGTGTGTGTGACGTCAGTTTGGTGTGTGTTGAGCGTCATTGGTGTGTGTGACGTCAGTTGGTGTGACGTCAGGTGTGTGTGTGACGTCGTGGTTGTGTGTGACGTCAGTTGGTGTTTGAGACGTCAGTGGTGTTGTGACGTGCAGTTGGTGTGTTGACGTCAGTTGTGTGGTGTGACGTCAGTATGGTGTGTGTGATGTCAGTTGGTGTTTGACGTCCAATTGGTTTGTGGTGAGAGTGTCAGTTGGTGTGGGTGACGTCAGTTTGGTGGTGTGTGAACGTCAGTTGGTGTCCTGTGACGTCAGGTTTGGAGTGTGAGACGTAAGTTGGTGTGTGTGCCGTCAGTTTGGTGTGTGTGACGTCAGTATGGTGTTATGTGACGTCAGTTGGTGTTTGTACAGTCAGGTGTGTGTGTACGTCAGTTGGTGTTGTGTGTGACGTCAGTTGGTGTTGGGATGTCCAGTTGGTATGTGTGGACGTCAGTGGGTGTGTGTGACGTCCGTTGTGTGTGGTGACGTCAGTTGTGTGTGTGACGGTCAGTTGTTGTGTGTGACGTCAGTGGGTGTGTGTGACGTCAGTTGGTATGTGGTGACTCAGGTTGTTCTGCCCAGTGTTATAAACCTATCCAACGCCTCACACACGCCCCAGCTGCAGGTTGGAGTATTCTGGCGATATCTAGTGGTTTATAATGATATTACACGAGAATTCTGAGATTATTGTGTGGCTTTAACTCGGCTAATTTACACATCACGCTTTTACCAGCACGTACGCGTTCATAGGCGCAGCAGACGGCGCGTAACTTTTTCCATGTTAACCTATGATGATATTTACACTTCTAGCGTTATACGCGCGTATGACGACGTATGACCGATGCTGCGCTCTAATTTAGGATGGATTTCTAATTTTGTCGCGCACCAACGCGTCTCCTATTGAAAATTCTCAGGTAAACATGATTTTTCTAGCGGCCCTTGGCTTTAGATCACACTCACACACAGCACTTGTTATCTAAACACCAGCAGAGAGCGCAGGTTTTACAGTGATTCCTGGACATCCGTTTTTTTTTCTTTCATAAAGTCTGGCGTCTGGCAAACCAGCAACAGAGACCATGAGGACAAAGACATGCATGTGATTTTGTGTTCTCTAACATCATCCTCAGTACTGTCCTCTACACTGCTCCAATTAGACTGGCACCAGGGACGGCATCAGAAGACGTGGACCTGGCGTGCACGGCCTGTGTAGATACGCAAAAAATGTTACGCGCAGAGAGCGCGCAATAAACGCAGTACGCGCTGTTTACGGCTACTGTGTAAAATTCACTGTTAAGTTCAGGTGTATACTCACAATTATTTTAAGTGTGTAACACGGGTGGAATGAGACCTTTCTGGAGGTGTATACTATTCTTTGAGCAGCAATTACAACCGTCTTTTTTTGTTTTTTTGTGGGTGATCAAGTGTGCCTGTCTATCACAGCCCAGACCCACGTCCAACTCTTAAGCCCCCCTTCTTGTCCTTTGGTCCTCCAGGCAATGTACCTTTAAAGGAAATTTTACAAATGTTTCATGGTGGGCGGAGTAAGGCTGGCACACGTTTTTAGTCGCTCTTAACCAAGCAGTGCTACTCACCGTATCCCCATGACAACTGCTTTCAAATGTTTTCTTTAGATCTATGAATATCCTCCTACTAGTCGCCTTTAGCTCAGTTTGATTAATTTTTCATCATTGAAAATCCAGCAGAGCCAGTGCAGTTGACTGTTAGTTCTGATGCCATATTGGCCGTCGTCTAGCATATGGTGTTTGATCTATACATATATACATCATACATGCAGATGGTGTTGATCTATCATTTTTCTAATCTGGTGTTGTAAAGTTTTTTCCAGTATCCTTATGAAAACTGTGACAGCAGAACACCGGCTTGGTGAAAAGAGGTTTTGTTTCCCGCTTAAATGAATGGGTATTACTTTTGCTATTTCCATCTGATGTGGCACAGTTCCATTTTGAAATGATAAGATGAACTATGTGATAATGGATGTGCGATTAATTCAATAATTTGTTTTTACTACAGACATTAAAGTTCCCTTGACGTCATTAACAAATCAGTTGATATTTTACTTTTACCATTTTAGAACTAATATTAATAATTCCCTTTCATCCACAGGCAAAGCAACGTTGAATGTGCATTTATATTTAGAAGATTATTTTTTGCTAATGTTGCGGTAAACAATAATCAAAACTATTCGCATCTGCTAATGTTGTATAAACTTTTTCTTTGTCAATGAAATATTCGGGATCTGTTAGAATTAGCAAGTTTGTTTTAGCACCATTCTACATTTTCACATTTTCCTTCATATTGTTTCTTGTTATCAATAAAGTATTTTCTACAGTTTCGCATTATAGTAGTTAAATCTCTCTCAACAACAACAACGGAATACGGAGGAGGAGGAAAATGAGAGAGATTTTAACTACTATAATGCGAAAACTGTAAGAAAATTACTTTATGATAACAGAACAATTGAAGGAAATGTGAAAATATAGAAATGGTGCTAATACAAACGTGCTAATTCTAACAGATCCCGAATTTTCATTGACAAAGAAAAGAGTTTTATACAACATTACCAATGCAAATTTTGATTATTGTTTACCGCTACATTAGCTAAAAAAAAATAATCTTCTAAATATAAATGCACACTTCAACGTTGCTTTGCCCTGAGGATGAAAGGGAAATTAATAATATAGTTCTAAAAAATTGTTAAAAGTAAGAATATCAACTGATTATAATGCGTAGATATGTCTGTAGTAAAAACAAATATTGAATAATCGCAACATCCATTATCACATAGTTCATCCTTATCATTTCAAACTGGGAACTGAGCCAAATCAGATGGAAATAGAGCAAAAGTAATACCCTCATCTTAAAGCCGGGAATCAAACATCTTTTTCAACCAAGAGCCGGTGTCTCTGCTGTCAACAGTTTTTCAAAAGATACTGAAACTTACAACACCAGATTAAAAAATGGTATAGATAACACCATCAGCTGTATGATGTATAAATGTATAGATCAAACACGACTCCACTACAAAGAAAGGGAGACCATCTGCTTGACGACGGCCAATAGGCTTCTGAACTAACAGTCAACCTGCACTGGCTTCTGCTGGATTCTATTGAAGAAATAATCCATACTGAGCAAAAAGAGACTAGTACAGGATATTCAAGATCTAAAGAAAACTTTTAAAGCAGTTGTATGGATACGGGGGAGTAGCACGACTTGTTTAAAGAGCGACTAAAAAACACGTGTGGCCCAGCCTTACGCCGCCCACATGAAACAGTTGTAAAATTTCCTCTTAACAGACAGGGCCTGGAGGACCAAAGGACAAAAGGGGGGCTTAGAGTTGGACGTGGGTCTGGCTGTGATTGACAGCTCACATTGTCACAAACAAAAAAAAAAAAAGACTTTTGTAATTGCTGCGCAAAGCAATAGTTTTAGCACACCAGAAAATCTCATTCACCCTTGTTTTACACACTAAAATAATTGTGAAGCTATACACCTGACCTAAACAGTGAATGTACACAGTAGCCAGTAAACAGCGCGTACGCGTTTACTGCGCGCTCTCTGCGCGTAACATTTTTTGCAGTAATCTACACAGCCGTGCACACGCAGGTCCAGCGTCCTTCTGATGCCGTCCCTGTGCAGTCTAATTGAGCAGTGTAAGGACAAGTCTGAGACGAAGTAGAGCAACCACAAAGTCACATCATGTCATTGTCCTCATGTCTCTGTTGCTGGTTTGGCCAGACGCCATACCTTTATGAAAGAAAAAAAACGATGTCCACGAATCCACTGTAAAACCTGCTGCAACCCTGCGATGTTAAGCAAACAAGTGCTGTGTGTGCAGATGTATCTAAAGAGCCAAGGGCCGCTAGAAAAATCATGTTTTAACATGAGATTTCAATAGATACGCGTTGGTGCCGCGCACAAAATTAGAAATCCATCCTAAATTAGAGCGCAGCTTATCGCGTTCATACGTCCGCATAACGCGCGTGATAACGCCTAGAAGTGTAAATAGCTCATAGGTTTAACATGGAAAAAGTTACGCAGCGTCTGCTGCGCCTATAACGCGTACGTGCTGTAAAGCGTGATGTGTAATTACAGTAAGCACACAATAATCTCAGAATTACTCGTGTAAATTCATTATAAACCACTAGATACGCCAGAGATACTCCATCCTGCAGCTGGGGCGTGTGTGAGAGTTGGATAGTTTATATCACTGGCGCGAGTACAACCCTGCGGCAACACCCTACCAACTGACGTCACACACTACCCACTGACGTCACACACACCAACTACGTCACACACGCGCCCAACTGACTCACAACAAACACACCAACTGACGTCACATAACACCCACCTGACGTCACACATACCACTGACATCACAACACTCCAATTGACGTCCACACACACACCAACGACGTCACACCACAACAACTACGTCACAAACACCAACTGACTCACAAACAAACCAACTGAACGTCACACACAAGCACCAACTGACGTCACACACACCAACTTACGTCACATCAAACAACCAACTGACGTCACAGACACCAACTGACGTCACAGCACAGACCCAAACTGACGTCACACACCATACCAACTTGACGTCACACACACCAATTGAACGTCACACCTAATCACCAACTGACATCACACACACCAACTGACGTCACACACAACCACACCAACTGACGTCACACACACCAACTGACGTCACAACACCAAGCTGACGTCACAAACACCAACTGACGGCACACACACCAACTGACGTCACAACACACCAACCTGACGTCACACCAACTGACGTCACACTCACCAACTGACGCACACACACCAACTGAACGTCACACACAACCATAACTTACCCGTCACACCACTACCAACTGACGTCACAGACACCACTCTGAACGTCACACACAAGCCAACTGACGACACACACACACCACCAATTGGACGTCACACACACCACTGACATCACACACATCCCAAACTGACGTCACACACACAACAACTGACGTCACACACACCAACTGACGTCACAAACACCAAACTGAACTCACAGACACACCAACTGACGTCACAAACACCAACTGACGTCAACACACACCAACTGACGTCACATCACACCAACTTAAACGTTCACAACAACAAGCACACCAACTGACGTCACAGACCCAACTGACGTCACCACAACGCCAACTGACGTCACATCACACCAACTGCAGTCACACACACCAATTGAACGTCACAAACACACAAACAGACATCACACACACGCAAACTACCAACTGACGTCAATCACACACACCAACAACGTCACACACGAACACCAACTGACGTCAACAAACACCAACTGACGTCACAAACACCAACTGACGTCACACACGACCGTTCAGACCAACTGATGTCACCACACACCAACTGACGTCACACACACCACCTGACCGTCACACACACCAACTGACTCCACACCACCCCCAACCCACTGACTCACACACACCAACTGACTCACACCACACACCAACTGAACGTCACAACACACACTGACGTCACACACACCAACTGACGTCCACACACACCAACTGACGTCACACACACCAACTGACGTCACACACACCAACTGACGTCACACACACACCAACTGTGACGTCACACACCCAACTTACGTCACAACACACACCCACTGACTTCACACACAGACCAACTGACGTCACACACACCAACTGACGTCTCACACACACCATAACTGGACTGTCACAAACACACACAACTGACGTCACAGACACACAGTGCACCTACTGACGTCACACAAACACACCAACAGACGTCACACACACCCAACTGACGTCACAAACCGAATTTCAGAGTCAATGAAGAGGTCCAGAACCAATTCAAATGTAGTTACCACTATAAGGTAGAGAGGGCGCCACACGACGTTGTTATCAAAAGTGAGATTTTATCTAATTTGTACTTAATTGTCCTAAAAATGACCAGATATGTATAGAGCACTACAATTAACATATTTATGCAGTTTATTGAGTAAAAAAAAAGTTGATTTGGGTTTAGTCCGCTCTTAAAGAGGCACTTAGAAATCGGAAACATGTTGTTCAAACTCGGAGAACAACTCTTGGTATTTGGACGTCGTCTGTGGGCCTCCCCCAGGGTTCCTGTGCTTCTGGACCAACATTATTTATTTTGTATATTAATAATCTGTGTAAAGTTTTCTGATTTGTTTAATACAGTTGCTGTTTCATTTGCAGATGACACAAATTTGTTCTTTCAGGAGACAATTTGCAATATTAATGGAGACTTGAAAAATTAATTCATGAAGTTATTGACCTGGTTCCATAATAATAAATTAAACTCTGAATCTGACCACACTAAGTTAAATGTTTTTTGGGAATTTCAAGAAGATGTACAAATACAGTTAAAAATACAGGGATAAACAGAACATTCAAGGAGATTACATTTCTCTCGGGGTTATTATGGACGAACGACATCAAGTGAAAAGCTCGCATTCAATATATACAGGAAAAAGTATAAGAGTATAGCTGGGTTAGTTAAGCCAGAGTTGGATTTTAATTCTCTACACACATCTCTTCTGTTCTCTGGTTCACCTTACTCCACCTACTGCGCGAAATCTGGGGTTAATAATTATCAAACTACTTTAAAAACCACGAGTGATTCCTGGCATAAAAAAAGCCATTAGAACCAATCAATAACCTGGTTATCTTGACCAAACCCATCCTTATTTTTATTAAAATCCAAACTCTCAAACTTCAAGACATCATAATTTTTAAGAACTGGCGCAATTAATGTACATGAGTAAAAAAAATAAGCAATTGTCTGAAAATGTTTTACGTTTCTTTCAGCGCAAGACAAGGAAAACACAATTTAAAGGGCTATATCACCTTAAAATCGCCCACGAAACAGGCCAGACTAAACCGGGAAAAGCTTCTGTATCTCTGTTCTGGGCCTAAGATATGAAAGAATATCCGGAGGACCTCAAAAAACTATCTCCGAATATAAAACAGTTTCAAAGTATCAATTAAAGAAACAAAGTTTCTCGAAAAAAGCTCACCGCACACCGAAACGCAGCGCCTCCGGCGCGGTCATTTGACGCGCGTTCATGACATGTGTCAAATTACACCGCACGCCAGGGCTAGCGTCCTTTTCCAGCTGATCGCAGGATGAAAGGTGAGTGTATGACGTTTGGAAGTTTCTACGAATAATTTGGGGTGGAAACAAACGTATTTACTGAACTTATAGCTGGCAAATATAACAAGAAAAGACTATTTGGAACCCATTTTTTAAAGCAGGCCTAATAACTAGCTGTCAAAGCGATAGTTTGGAGTTGAATGTTTGATGTCGTTTATTGTTTTATTTTTTATTTTTGTGGTGACTTGTGAAAAAGTGACCTCTTCATAATATAGCTAAGTTTTACAATGTATTTTTTTGAGTAAATCTGTATGACAAAAGCTTCCATGTTCGGAGCATGGGAACATTAATATAAATTGAAATTGAGAATGTGTGTTATTTTTTTCTTGTATCTTATAAGATATCTTGAGCAAAAAAGTATCAAATGAAGTAAATAAATGGGGTTTGTTGCTATTCTATCAATACTAAAATGTTCTTGGTTTTACTGCTTGTATATTGTGAATTGTTTTCCTTTTTTCCTTTTGTACTGTAGACATTTTTGTGAAGCACTTTGGTCAACCAACATTGTTTTAAATGTGCTATATAAATACATTTGATTTGAATACTAAAAGAGATTTTAAACAAGCAACAAACACTATTTTAAAAGATGTATTCCTAAAAATAATTTTGGTCACATCCTCTAAAAATAATGTGGCATAGCAGCATACAATTTAATTGTTTTGACTTTATGTCTCTTCTAGAGACATATTCTCAAGACATAAAGAAGATTGCCGCCTCCATCTTATTTGCGTTTGTTCCGGCTTCCGTGCAAAACAGTCTGAAGAGAAAATCTGGGTGCACCCAATAAATACCACAACGTGAGGAGAAAGGAGTATCCACCACTGATCCAGAGCTCCAGATGGACAGGCGATAACAAACCACAAATAATTTACTCGGATGAGCGCTGCCACAATTAGAAGAAATTCTTATCAATGTTAGGACCGGACCATCACCACACAGGACACGCTAATTACCGATCAGCCCATTCAGAGCCCAAAACCATAAGCTGGGCTGTCAACAATCAGGTAAAAAAAAGACAATGACCAATAAAACAGAAGCACCTAATTCCACATTTTAATATTACAACACAGATGCTTAATTCTAGTAAAGTTAATGCAATGTGCTTTAACAAACGGATAAAAACATTAAGAATAAACTCGATTAAGAATTTACAAAGAACAATTAATAGATTAAAAAAATAAATAAAAATAAAAAAAAAATAATAAAAATAAATTATGATCAAAAATAATAAAATAATATAATAAAAAAAAAATAGTAAATTAAATAAAAAACATATATAAAAGAAAAAATAATAAAAATAAAAAAAAAATTAAAAAAATAACAAAAAAATACAAAAAAAAAAGAATATAAATAAAAAAATAAATTAGTAAATAATAAAAAAATAAAAAAATATTTTTAAAAGAATATAAAATAAGAAATAAATTAAAAAAAAAAAATAAAAATAAAAAATAAAAATTTAAAAATTAAAAAAAAAAAAAGAATGAAAAAATAAAAATAATATAATAAATATTAAAAATAAAATATAAATAAATAAAAAAAAAAAATAATGAAATATTATAAAAAAATAGAAAAAAAAAAATAAAATAATAACAATATTAAAATGTAAAGAAATCAAAATTTAATAATAAAAAAAAAAATTAAAAAATAAATTAAAAATAGAAATGATATTAAATAAAAATAAATAAAAGATATGAATAAGTAATAAAAAATAAATATAAAAAAAAAATATGAAAAAAAATATAAAATAAAAAATAATTTAAAAAAAAAATAAAAAAAGATATAAAAATATTAAAAAATATAATACTTAAATGCAAAAAAAAAGAAAAAATTAAAAAAAAAAAAATAAAAAAAATAAATAAAGTAAATATAAAACAAAGAATATAAAATCATAGATATAAATAAAAATAATAATAAAAAAATGAATAAAAAAAATTTATAAAAGATAAATAAAAAAATATAAATTATATAAAATTTATAATAAAATAAAATTAAAATTAAAAAATTATATTAAATAAATATAAAAAAAATATTAAAAAAAAAAATAAATAAACAAAATTATTAAATATATATAAAAAAAATTAAAAAAATATAAAATATAAAATAAAAATAAAATTTATAAAAAAAAAAAAAATAATACAAAAATAAAAAAATATATTATTAAAATATTATATAAAAAAAAAAATGTAAAAAATAATATACATAAAATTAATAAAAAAAAAAAAAATAAAAAAATTAATATATAAAATAAAAAAAATAATTATAAATATCAAAAAAAAAAATAAAAAATTTAAAAAAAAACTAAAAAATATAAAAATTAAAAATAAGTAAAAAAAAATAGAAAAAAAAAATAATTTAATATATAAAAATAAAATAAAAAATATAGAAAATTAAAATATAAAAAAAAATTAATAAATATAAAATATAATATAATATAATAAATAATAAAAATAAATTAATAATAAGAAAAAAAATAAAAAAAAAATATACAAGAAAAAAAAAAAAAAAAAAAAAAAAAAAAAATTAAAGAGAAAAAAAAAATTAAATAAAAAAAAGTAATATAAGTATATAAAAAAAAAAATAAAAATAAAAATATTACTAAATTTAAGAAAAATAAAAATTATAAAAAAAAATAAAGTAAAGAAAGAAATAAATATAAAATATAAAAAAAAAAAAATTAAATAATATAATAAGAAAAAAAATAAAGAAAAGAAAATAAAAAAATTAAAAAATAAAAAATAATAAGTAATGATAAACAAAAATAAAAAAATAAAAAATAAAAAAATTAATATAAAATTAAAAATTAAAAATATAGTTTATACAATTAATAAAAAAAATTGATTATAAAAAAAATAAAAATAATAAATTAATAAAAATAAATATAAATTTAAGAAAATTAATAAAATGTAAAAAGAAAATAAGAAAAAAAAAAAATTAATAAAAAAAAAAAAAAAAAATATAATTTAAATAAAAAATAAATATACAAAAAGGAAAATGACAAAAACAATAAGATAAAAAAATAAAATAAATAATATAAAATCAAAATAAATAAAATAAAAATAAAAAATAAATAAAAATAAAAAATTAATAAAAATAAAAAGTAAAAATTCATATTAAATAAAAAAAAAAAAAAATAATATAAGAAAAATAAAAAATAAAAAAATAAATAATTAATAAAAAATAAAAAAAAAAAATATATAAAAAAAAAAAAAAAAAAAAATATGATATATTATAATAATAAATTAAAAAAACAAAAAAAATTGGCAAAAAAATATAAAAAAAAGGAAAATGAAAAAATAAAAAATAATACAAATAAAATGAATTTATAAAGATTTTAGAAAAAAAAAAAATAATATAAAAGTAATGATGAAAATCAGAAAAATGAAAATTAAATTAATATAAAATAAAAAATATGAATATAATAAAAAATAGATAAAGAAAAAATAATAAAAAATAATAATCTTTAATTAATAAAATCTAATTCAAAGAAAAAGAAAAATAAAAAAAGAAAAAATATAAAAAATGTATA